TTTTTTTTTTTTTTTTTTTGTGACGGAGTCTTGCTCTGGTCACCCGGCCTGGAGTGCAATGGTGTGATCCGACTTTTGGCTTCAGGTGTTTCTCCTGCCTCAGCCTCCCCAGTAGCTGAGACTACAGGTGCCTGCCATCAGGCCCGGCTAATTTTTGTATTTTTAGTAGAGACGGTTTCACCATGTCAACCAGGCTTGTCTGGAACTCCTGAGCTCAGCCGATCTGCCTGCCTCAGCCTCCCGAAGTGCTGGGATTACAGGCATGAGCCACCACACCCGCCCTGTGTAGTAGAATTTTTATTCCCTAAAGTGATATTCCTGCCAGCCTTTCTCCCGCAAGCCCAAACACAATGAAAGCGTGTAGAGTGGTTTATTATTTTTTCTTCCCTGTCCTTCCCTCTCCATCTGAGTCTGACCAGGGTGACCAGTTGTGTCAGGGTCCCCAAACCATACTCAAGTTGGGAGAGTCACCAGCACCCAAAGGAATCAGCATATGGTTGATTTATTGTGGTGACATGGGATGGATACACAATGGATCATAAGGGAAAAATAATCCCAAGGTGTGGATGGGGTCAAACAGGGCAGTTTCCCAGCAAAGAAAAAGAAAAGGTGGAAATTTAAGTGCCATGTTTCTGTCCAGTGAAGTCTAACAGACGGTGCCAGGGGGTTTTTTTGTTTTTCATTTTTTTTTTTTTTTTAAGATTACAGGCATGGGCCACCATGCCTGATGAATTTTGTATTTTTAGTAGGGACAGGTTTTCTGCATGTTGGTCAGGCTGCTCTTGAACTCCTGATCTCAGGTTATCCACCAGCCTCAGCCTCCCAAAGTGCTGGGATTACAGGCTTGAGCGGGTGCCTGTAGTCCTAGCTACTCAGGAGGCTGAGGCAGGAGAATTGCTTGAACCTGGAGGCGGAGGTTGCAGTAAACTGAGATCTCCTGCCTCAGTCTCCCAAGTAGCTGGGATTACAGGCGCTCACTACCACTCAAATATTTTTCTGAGACGGAGACTCGCTCTGTTGCGCAGGCTGGAGTGAAGTGATGTGATCTCAGCTCACTGCAACCTCCGCCTCCTGGGTTCAAGTGATTCTCCTGCCTCAGCCTCCCGAGTAGCTGGTCTACAGGCACATGCCACCATACCCAGCTAATTTTTGTATTTTTAGTAGATATGGGGTTTCACTGTGTTGGCCAGGCTGGTCTCAAAATCCTGACCTCAAGTGATCTGCCTGCCTTGGCCTCCCAAAGTGCCTGGATTACAGGTGTGAGCCACCGTGCCCGGCCAGGGCTGTGGTGTATTGAGAACAAAGCGTGCTTTTGTGTTGCTCTGTGGCTGAATAAAGGCATGTTTGATGTGTTGTGTCTCTGGCTGGGTCGGGTTAGTCTGGATGTACAAACGTGTAAATGGGTGAGGGTGATCACTGTGTGTTACCATTAGTCGTGTGTATGTCTGTGTGTGTGTGAGGGAGAGAGGGAGAGAGAGAGAGAGAGAGAGAGAGAGAGAGAGAGAGAGAGAGGTGGCCTCCCAGCCCAGGATTCAGGATTCATTACTAATTCCTCCAGCATCACCACCCATTTCTGGGCAACAGAAGCCCCTTTGTTCTCAGTGGCAGAGGCAGTGATGTCCCTTTTCTCTTGAGGCCCCTGGCAAGTTCTCAGCCTTGAGCCTGCTCAACAAAAGGTCCTCTGAGCTTTTGCACTGAGCCTGGACACTTGCAGAGTGTACTGAGGACATTAGTGAGGGCACCAGACCTGTGACAGCCACAGTGGCTTGGCCAGTGCTGGAGGAGCCCAGGGGCTTAGAGAAGACCTTCTTTTTTCTTTTTTTGTGAGACGCAGTCTCGCTCTGTCACTAGGCTGGAGTGCAGTGGTGCAGTCTCAGCTCACTGCAACCTCTGCCTCCCGAGTTCAGGCGATTCTCCTGCCTCAGTCTGCCAAGTAGCTAGGATTACAGGTGCCCACTACCATGCCCCACTATTTTTTTTTTTGAGATGGAGCCGGGCTCTGTTGCTTAGACTAGAGTGCAGTGGCTCCATCTCGACTCACTGTAATTTCTGTCTCCCAGGTTCAAGTGATTCTTCTGCCTCAGCCTCCTAGGTAGCTGGGACTATAGGCTCGCACCACCAGACCCAGCTTTTTTTTTTTTTTTTGTATTTAGTAGAGACAGGGTTTCACCATGTTGGCCAGGATGGTCTCGATCTCCTGACCTCGTGACACACCCGCCTTGACCTCCCAAAGTGCTGGGATTACAGGCGTGAGCCACCGCACCCAGCCTACTTTTTGGATTTTTAGTAGAGACAGGGCTTCACCTTGTTGGCCAGGCTAGTCTCGAACTCCTGACCTCAGGTAATCTGCCCGCCTCGGCCTCCCCAAGTGCTGGATTACAGGTGTGAGCCACTGTGCCCGGCCGAGTTAACCTTTATTGAGTTATTCCCGTGTGCCCGACACAGCTCTAATTCTTCCTACCTGTGTAAACTTACTCACTGCTCACATCAACCCCCAACGGAAGTGTTATTTTCATGTTGCTTCCTGCTCTTTATCTCCACTTGCCAAATCACTCCCATGAGTGAAGGGACTTCTGTCTGTTTCTTCATTGCTACATCCATCCCTGGAAACTGGGACTGCAGGTGGTTACAAAGTACCTATCTGTTAAGTAAGTGAACATTCCTTGTAGGCAATTACACTCATCTCCCAAATGGGGAACAGGCTCAGAGATAGCATCTGCACTCTCACGCTCAGCTGCCTTGTTTCTAGCACTTTCCATGATGATCCCCCTTCACGGAGAGGGTTCTTGGGAAGTGACCATTGCTGTGTAATGAATGACCAGGCTGTGCCAGGGTCCAGCTGCAGCCTTTTCCTTTCTCTTTTTTTGTTTTTTTTTTTTGAGACGGAGTTTCGCTCTTGTTGCCCAGACAGAAGGGCAATGGTGCGATCTTGGCTCACTGCAACATCTGCCTCCCTGGTTCAAGTGTTTCAAGCCTTGGCAGGAGCTGGGATGAGAGGCACCCGCCACCACGCCCAGCTAATTTTCTTTCTTCTTTTTTTTTTTTTTTTTTTTTTTTTTTTTTTTTTTTTTTTTTTTTTTTTTTTTTTTTTTTTTGAGACAGAGTCTTGCTCTGTCACCTAGGCTGGAGTGCAGTGGTGGGGTCTCAGCTCAGTACAACCTCTGCCTCCTGGGTTCAAGTGATACTCCTGCCTGAGGCTGCCAAGGAGCTGAGACTACAGTTGCCTGCCACCACACCCAGCTAATTCTTTGTATTTTTAGTAGAGATGGGGTTTCACCATGTTGGCCAGGCTGGTCTTGAATTCCTGATCTCAGGTGATCCACCCGCCCTGGCCTCCCAAAGTGCTGGGGTTACAGGCATGAGTCTGACCAGGCCTTTTCTTTTTGAGACAGTGTCTTACTGTGTTGCCCAGGCTGGAGTGGAGGTGGCGCAGTGATGGTTCACTGCTGCCTCAAACTCCTGGGCTAAAGTAATCCTTCCACCCCAGCCTCCCCAATAACTGGGAGGACAGGTGTATGCCACCACTAGAACTAATTTTAAATTTTTTTGTAGAGATGGGAACTCGCCATGTTGCCCCAGCTGGTCTCAGATTCCTGGGCTCAGGCTGTCCTCCTGCCTCGGCCTCCCAAAGCGTTGGGATTACAGGTATGAGCCACCGTGCCTGGCCACAGCAGGTCTTTTGTTTTTTTTAGAGAGGGTCTCGCTTGGTGGGCCAAGGTAGAGTGCAGTGGTGCAATCACCGCCCACAGCAGCTTCCAACTCCTGGGCTCGAGTGATCCTCCTGCCTCAGCCTCTCCAGTAGCTGGGACTATCGGCACACGCCACCACGCCCTGCTAATTTATGTATGTATGTATGTATGTGTGTAGGTATGTATTTTTTGAGACAGAGTCTCTCTCTGTTGCCGAGGCTAGAGTGCATTGGCCAGATCTTGGCTGACTGCAGCCTCTGCCTCCCAGGTTCAAGAGATTCCCCTGCACCCTGCCTCAGCCTCCAGAGGAGCTGGGCTTACAGCCGTGCGCCACCATGCCCAGCTAATTTTTATATTTTTAGTAGAGACAGGGTTTTATCATGTTGGCCAGGCTGGTCTCGAACTCCTGACCTCAAATGATCCGCGCACCTCGGCCTCCCAAAGTGCTGGGATTACAGGTGTGAGCTACCGCGCCCAGCTGCTAATGTATGATGATGATGATTCTGTAGAGACGTAGTCTAGACATGTTGCCCAGGCTGGTCTTGAACTCCTGGGCTCAAGCGATCCTCCCGACTCTGCCTCCTAAAGCCCTGCGGTTACAGGCGTGAGCCACCGCGCCCTGCAGCTGCAGGTCTTTATAAGGCAGCTGTGGGCCCTGGACCGCTACCAGAAAATCTTCCTTCCAACCTCCTCCCTCCTCCGTCACCTGGTCTACCCCGAATCTTCCCCTCGCCTCTCCGAGAGATGAGGGACCCGAGAATAGCACCCTGCCTCCGTCCCCACCGCGCCGCCCCGCCCCGCAGCCCACGCGCTTCTTGAAAGGACCACCCTTGAGGCTGATTCCTGGTCCAGCTGGGAGCGGCGACCCCTGAACCAGCACCCGCGCGGGCCGTTCCATTCCGGCCGGGGGGGTACCTGGGAGGGGACACGCGGAGGGCGCCCCCCAGGGGACTGCCTCTATCGAGACCTTCTCCAGCCCAATAGGGGGACGGGAAGGAGACTTGTGTGGGGGCCTCGGCTGGCGGGCCGCGGGTCCCTCGTCCCCCGCCTTGGCGCCTCTCCGCCCCCTGCCCCTCCCCGGCATTGGTTGGCGCCAAGGGCAAGCGGAGGCTCCACCCTTACTGAGTGGGTTCCTGCCGCACTCGCGCAGGCGTCGCGCGTCCAGGCGGGAGGTCGGTGTGTCCTGGGCTTCTGCTCCCCGGCGGCTGTGGCGGCCCCGAGCCATGGCTCTCACCGTCCGAGTCGTTTATTGGTAAGCGCAGCGGGCAGCGGCGCCCCCGTTCCCGACCGCCCCTGGGACCCGATCCTCCGCACGCTCGGAGCCGGGGTCTGGGGGCGTCGGGGCGAGGAGCCGTGGGGACCCCTCTATGGGAAAAGCGATTCCCGTGTGGGTGGGGTGGGCGTGCGGAGCGGCGAAAAGCAGAGGGCAGTGGTCCCCGGGACGCCTCTTCGGCTTGAGACACGCTGGGCATCCCGCGTTCTAAAAGGTGGGGCTGAGACGGGTGTGCGTCAGTTTCCAGCCCCCGACTCCGGGGCTGCGCTGGGGGAAGGGCTGGCGGTCAGCTTTGTAAAGGGACCCCAGGCTCCTCCACCTTAAGTCTTCCCCTCCCCCAATATCTAGAACAGTCACGGGGTGGAGACGGTGAGAGCCCAGAAGGTTCGAGAATGTCTCAGCCCGTGTTTCGAAAGCACTTGAATTGTAGCCCTCTGCCCAATGGTTTCCCTTGGCCACGAACCCCTCTCCGTTTCTGGCCTGAGTTTTCCTGTCTGTGGCGAGAGGGAGGCTGTGCGTCAGCACCGAACCCGTTTAATTTCTCCAAGTCTCAGGAAGGATGTGATAGGATAGGATATAAATTACTTCACATCCTCCCCACTCCCCAGCACCAAATACTATGCTGGCATTCAGTTAGGTATTTAATAAACACATGTTCAATGAATTCATCCTCCCACAAATCCCTCGAGAGGGGAATTTTAGGCCAGGTACCGTTGATCACGCCTGTAATTCAAACACTTTGCCGGGGCGGGGGGCGAGGCGGGTGGATCGCTTGAGCCCAAGGGTTCGAGGCTAGCTTCGGCAATACAGGGAGATCCCCATCTCTACAGAAACTTAGAAAGTTAGCCGGGGGTGGTGGCATGCACCTGTAGTCCCAGCTACTCCGGAGGCTGAGTTAGGAGGATTGCAGGAGCCTGGGAGGCGGAGGTTTCCATGAGCTGAGATCGCAACACTGCACTCCGGCCGAGCGAGGCTCTGCCTCAAAAAAAGAAAAAAAAAAAAAAAAAAAAAAAAAGAAAAAAAAAAAAGAGAATGGGGAATTTTAGTTCTATCTTACAGGCGAGGGGGCTGGGGCTGGGGTGGGGGTCACGTCAGTAGCTTCAAGTCTGGACTGCAGGTGACAGGGGTAACTGGAACCCCCGGTCTGCCCGCAGCTTTCGAATGTCTCTGCCTGCTCGACAAAGCAGAGGCAAGAGTGACATTTTGAGACGCCCACCAGGCCTGTGCAGCAGACTCGTCCCAAAACAGCCTGCTGTGGGGTCGGCTGAGCTTGTGTTTCCTCCTGGGGACTGGGCAGGTGTTCAGAATCCTGGAGGCGCTGGGCGCTGCGCAGTGGCTCATGCCTGTAATCTCAGCACTTTGGGAGGGGAGGCGGGCTGGTCCCCTGAGGTCAGGAGTTTGAGAACAACCTGGGCAGCAGGGCGAAAATACAAAAATTAGCCGGGCGTGGTGTAAGAATCCAGTAGCCACAGGGTTTTCCTTGGAGTGCTGTGGGTGGGGACGTCATTTGCGCTGTGCTCCTAATCCAGTTCTCCTGGTTTTTCCTCTGTCCCCGTCTGTCTCATCCTTGTGGCGTCCCTGTCTGCTCTCTCTCCCCTTCTTCCCCTCCCCCTCTCCATCTCTTGCGTGGTGTTGGTTTTCTGTGTGTCTGTGCGTCCTGCTGCCACCCCGTGCTGTGTCCCAACACTCTGCCTGGCTGATGCCATCTGTCACCACCTCTGCTTGGTCATCTGTGTTCCTCTTTATTTCCTCCTGGCCCCACCTTGCTCCCCACCCCCCACACTGCCTGTCTCTCCCCTCCTCTTCCGGATCCCCCACTTCTCCCTCTCTCCCCTGGGCCCCGCTTTCTTGGACTCTCCTCCCAGTGGCGCTTGAGGCTACAAGTCCAAGGTAAGCAGGGTGAGCGTGGTGGTGGGGGGAATTCCCGGAAGCTGGGGACGGGGAGAGTGCCTATCAGGAGGGAGGCTAACTGGTACGACCCCTGCCGTGACCTCCCACCCCATTTTCAGTATCTTCAGCTCAAGAAGAAGTTAGAAGATGAGTTCCCTGGCTGCTTGGACATCGTGAGTCTTGGGAGGGGGAGAAAGACTTGAGCACAGGCACTGTGTTGGTCCCTTAGGCCTGGATGGCATTAGGGGTGGGGGGTGTTAGGTAACCCCCTGGGAAGGGGAGGGTCTCCCCAAGAGGACATCTCAGCCCCTCCAACATCCTCTCTCCTTTCCTCAGTCGGGCGAGGGAACTCCCCAGGCCACCGGGTTCTTCGAAGTAACGGTAGCTGGGAAGTTGATTCACTCTAAGAAGGTACGTCCATCTGTCCGTCTGTCCGTCTGTCCGTCCGTCCGTCCGTCCATCCATCCGTCTGCCTGTCCGTCTGTCCTGCCTTGTTTTGGCGCTAGCGTGGGTTGCAGCTGAGGTTGGTGTCACGGTCCCAGCTCATCCCTACTTTCTTCCTCCCCTCCCTAGAAAGGCGATGGCTACGTGGACACGGAAAGCAAGTTTCTGAAGCTGGTGGCGGCCATCAAAGCCGCCTTGGCTCAGGGCTAATGTGCCCTGAAGGCAGAGGTGAGAGGGAGGGGCCCACTAGACAGGGAACCACCCTTTGGATCTTCTCCCAGCCCCATCCTCTGACTCCTTGACCCAGGGTGGAGAGCCTAGGAGATGAAGGGGACATCTCGGGGGTTCCCAGAGCAAGCAGGATGAAGTTAGACAGACCTGGGTGATGAAGGATGACAACTGAGATGGAGTCAGAGGTGTGCAGGGTGACGGGGTGTGCAGGGTGACGGCTGAGATGGTGGTGATGGGTTAGAGGTGTGCAGGGTGACGGGGTGTGCAGGGTGACGGCTGAGATGGTGGCGATGGGTTAGAGGTGTGCAGGGTGACGGGGTGTGCAGGGTGACGGGGTGTGCAGGGTGACGGCTGAGATGGTGGTGATGGATTAGGGGTGTGAGGGTGATCTGCTCTCCATCTCCCAAAGTGCTGGGACTATAGGCGGGAGCCACAGTGCTCGGCTGTTGATTTATTTTTTGAGATGGAGTCTCACTCTGTCACCCAGGCTGGAGTGCAGTGGCGCATTTTCGGCTCACTACAACCTCCACCTCCTGTATTTAAGGGATTCTCGTGTCTCAGCCTCCTGAGTATGTGGGATTACAGGCACGTGCCACCACGCCTAGCTAATTTTTGTTTTTTTTTTTTGTTTTTTTTTGAGACGGAGTTTCGCTCTTGTTACCCAGGCTGGAGTGCAATGGCACGATCTCGGCTCACCGC